TTGAAACCCAAGCACAAAAACTTGTAAGGTCAACAACTGTATCTCATGGTGTTTCACTAATTTTAAAAAAAACAAACAATAAAATAAAAAATAAGAGTGGCTTTTTCCAAAAAAGAAAAAAAAATAGAAATTAAATAGCCAAAAGTTAGGTATATGGGAACCACACCCACAAACCACCTCCAGCTCAGCTATACAAGCTCTTTTATCGGCCTTATTTCAGAGATCCATACATCTTGAAAGAGATCAAAAGCGACAGTTAATCTCGGACCTGTGCAAGGCTGAACAGACTTGTTCTGTTCAGGAAGTTTACTCAGGGACTAAATCAGAGGGGGGTGGGTTGGCCAGAGGCCTGCCCAAATAGAATCCCTGGCAGCCACTTGCTTCCACAATCCAAAATCGCTGCCATACCCCTGGGCCTAACTCCATAGTTTCAGGACGGACCTTACCAAAATATAATCTGCTGGAAAGTTGGGAATATAGGCTTTGTGACTGAAATCTCCAGGCTTTCTCAGAGTTGGGATGGACTACCTCCCACCACTTCCTAACACTCCTGGAAGCACTGGCAGTCACCCCATGAACCAACTCCAGCCCCACCATGTAAGCTCTACTACCAGCCTTGCTTCAGAGACATATAAATAAAGCTCGAAAGAGATCATGAACTACAGTTAATCCTGGACCACGCATGGCTAAACAGACCGGGGCAAACTGGAGGGGGGCAGATTAGCCAGGGGTCTGCCCAAGCAGAGCCCCCTGCAGAGGCTTACTTCCACAATCCAAAATTGCCATCCTACTCCCAGCCTGACTCCACCGTCTCAGGACAGACCTCACCAAGATAAAATCTGTTGAAAATTCGGGTATGCAGGTTTTGTGACTGAAATTTCCAGGCTTTCTCAGGGTCAGAATGGGCTACTTCCCCACCTCCCTCTATTTCCAGAAGTCCTGGCAGCTATATCTACACCCCAAAGTGACCACCCAATTAAAAAGCTACTTCAGCCTTACTTACTTACTTACAGCCTTGCTTACCATCCCGATAAAAATACCGAATGCCCTGAACAAACACCATGACCTCTAAGCACCTGTATTGCAAACCATAATGCACAAAAGGAAAAGGAGAGAGAGAACAAGAAGTAGAGTGTCTCCCATAGAGGCTGGGGTTGGAGGGCTGGGGTGTTGGGGGATGGTGGTAAGGAAATATGGGACATCGGTGGTGGGAAATGTACACTGGTAGAGGGATGGGTGCTGGATCACTGTATGAATGAAACCCAATTATGAACAGTGTTGTAATGGTCTATCTCATGGATATTTAATTAAATAAAAATTAAAAAAAAAATAATGTGGCAGAGCTGGAGCGATAGCACAGTGGGTATGACATTTCCCTTGCATGCAGCTGACCCGGGTTTGATCCCCAGCATCCCATATGGTCCCCCAAGCACTGTCAGGAGTAATTCCTGAGGGCAGAGCTAGGAAGAACCCCTGAGCATTGCTGGGTGTGACCCAAAAAGAAAAAAAAAAGTGTGACATATAGAAAGTGGAAAAGATAGCTTACAGAATATCATGAGTATAAAGAGACAGAAAAATTGCACATTTTTACTACTCAAGAATAAATACATATTTTACAAATAACACTAAATGATCAAGTCTTGCTAATGTAACACTACAGAAAATTTTATGGTTAATAAGACTTTAAGTTCATCTCATAAAAATCCCTTGTTCTTACAAATGAGAAATTAAAAGATTAACAGAGTTAATTATTGCAAAGGTGACTTAAAAACAGACCTCCAGGGGCTGGAGCTATAACACAGTGGGTAGGGCGTTTGTCTTGCACGCGGCCAACCTGGGTTCAATTCCCAGCATCCTATATGGTCCCCCAGGCACTGCCAGGAATAATTCCCAAGTGCAAACCCCTATGCATCACCAGGTGTGACCCAAAGAAAAAACAAACAAAAACACGCCTCCACACCACTTATATTGGACTTTGAATCTATGCTTAAGAACTGATCTTGTTAACAGTTAATTTAAAAGAAATAGTTGTATACTTTAGTATTCAAGGTAAAAACAAAATTTTATGACAACCTGAACTAAAAACAATGCTGATTTTTGCTGTCAACTCACTTATGAAGAAAAAAGAAATTCAAATTTTGATCAACTTCTCAAGTTTATTCCAAACAAAATAAACTATTAAGAAACATATTTGAGGGATGGAGAGACAGTACAGTGGGCAGAGCATTTGCCTTGCATGTGACTGACCCAGGTTTGGTCCCCAGCATCCCGTATGGTTTCCTGAGTCTCACCAGGAGTGATTCCTGAGTGAAGAGCCAGAAGTAAGCCCTGAGCACCACTGGGTGTGGCCCCCAAACAATAATAAAAAAAAAACAACAAAATCAAAACTTTTAAAAATTAAAAAAGAAGAACACACTTCATGGGTTGGGAGACAGCTCAAAATGCTAAGACACACACTTTGCATACAGGAGGCCCAGTTTCAATCCCTAGCACCACACTATACCCCGAAAACTGTCAGAAGAGGCCCCTACTTGATGTAGCTCCCCAAAAAGAAGAAACATATTTCATGTAATATTTACCATCAACTGTATAAAATGTCGGCACTAAAAATGACCAAGATTTAGAGCTTTATTACCAAATTTAATAAATGTTTAAAGTACCATGATAAATGATGCTTTGGTGTTCGTTATAAGAATGTAAGATTTCTATTTTCTGAGATTTTTTAAAGGTAGAATATTCATATCTACTTAGTATATTCCAGGATTCATGAAAAATCTTGAAAATAGATGAATGAAAACATCTTTGTCTTTGGAGACTATATTAAGTGATATAAACACGTACAGAAGTACATTATAACAATACAACAAGTGAACAAAGCAGAACAGAGGAGTTAATGACGGAAAATATGGGAAGTTTCAGAATATATACAAATTGGCTTTTAGGAGATGGTGAGTGAAAGAACTGAAGCTCACATTTTGCATTTGTGGGATGCCCCAAGTATGGTCCCCAGTACAGCAAGTACTGCGAGTACTACTGGGAATATCTCTCCCCACCTCTTAAAATAAAAGTGAAAAATCAAATTGTGAGATGTTTGAAGGAGATAAAGAATTTAATGGTAGAATTTAAAAGTAACTTTTAATATATATCTCTGGAAAGAAATCTAATTCAAAGCAATTGATTAGTGGTTGTCCAAGGCCAGTAGTGGGGACCAGGATTGACTGGAAAGTGTATAAAAAGAGAAGCACTGCGCTGACAGAAATATTCAGGACCACTGGCTATCAGTGATGGTCATCTTATTAAATACATCTATTAAAACTTATCATGATCCACTTAAAAAAGCACATTGTATCAAACGCAACTGACATTTCAACAAAGTTAATTTTTTAAGCAAAACCTGGGAAACCAGATGAACTATTCCTTGGTGACAAAAATAACTCTTCTATATTCCAATTACAAGGTAGCTATCAGTATTCTGTGAGGAGAAAAATATTTTCTCTATATAAACAGAGTTTAAAGCTCTAGTGCAATTTCTTATTTTAGACCTCTCCTAAAGATGTAATGGGCAAAAAATGTAGAGCATGGCAGAGTTCCAATAGAACAGGCTATTTCTAAGTTTATATGATATTGCTAAATAAAGAATTTTCATAATACAAGTTTCCATTTATAATTACAGAATGTGTGGATAAGAGATACTAGGCAATGAAAATTTCCTTAGCTAGCTTTGAAATTAATTTGTATCTCTGGAATGATTTCAGCATCAAACTGATGCTCATTTCCCTTTAATTGCTCTCATTTTTAAGATTCAGTTTTTGTTAGAAAGCTGAAATCTCTACATAGAATATCCAAATAAAATCACTCAAGTCCTAAATGGTGAAAGTGACGAATTAAAAATAAGTTCTATCAGGTACAAGAAATATCAGGTGTATCTGATACAACTCTGAGATTGAAAACTTGAGGTTCTCGATCTAATTTATGTTATTTTCTTAATAAATATAACTTTATATGCTGTTTGCTATTAGCTTGCTGCACAGGTTTTTCTATGTTTCTATGATTATATGTTACACTTCATATATACATCTTTTCTTTGTAAATGAAGAAAACTGAGCTATAAAGATTAAGAACTTCGGGTAAAACAGGTAACTATCTTTGAAAAGACAAAACTAGCATATAAAATGTTTCATATAAATTAAGCAAAACATTTTAGAAAGAATGGAGCTGGAAAGATAGTACAACAGGTAGGAAGCTTGCCTTGCACAAGCCTGACCCAGGTTTCATCCCTGAACAGAGCCAGGAATAAGCCCGGAGTATTGCGAGGTGTGGCCCCAAAACAAGCGAAACAAAAATTTTAGAATGTGTAAGTGGAAAGACAGCTAATGGTATAATTGTTTTCTGAAAGGAGATACCACATAAGATTGTAGTATTACTTTTAGGAGACAGTCTAAAATGGAAAGAGGTAGTTTTCCTATTTCTCCTCTCTACCATTAAAAATTTTTCATCATGAACATTTGTTAATTCAACTGTTTACAAAGTGTGATCTTAAGCTGGAAGTTATGGTCTTGATTTCCATTATTTACATATTTAAGAAAATAAAAGCCTAGCATTTAGAATTTTCTTCTTTTGAACTATATGTCTGGTGGTTTACTCATTAATTTGGTAGCCTAGAGCACAAAGAATAACGATCAGAGGTTTGATTAGTTATATTATATTTGCAAAGAATAAATTTATCCTTTGGTCCCAGAATGCATTTTAAACTTTAAAAAGTCACTGACAAACTCATGCTGCTGAGAAAAAACCAGGTAAGAGAATTTATCGTGGTTGTTTCAGTATAAAACATTAATATTGAAAAATAACTCCAGGAAATGTCCTGCTGATAGAGGGTAAGAAAGTATACAGTAAAATTACTCAACTCTTAAGTAAATGTTCCAATTTTCATATCCATCATACCCTTCATTCTGAATAATATGTCATGTGAAAAGCAAATCAAACACACATATACATACCTGTGACATCTTCAGGATCCGATACAACGATATGAGCATTTAATTCCTGTAGTTTGTGATGCAATTCTTCTAGTTTTTTATTTGATTTTTTCAATATGTTGTCCACATAAGCCAAACTTTTTTTATCTGTTGTAACTTTCCTCAGATTTTCAGCTCCTTCTTTAATTTTCAGTTCTTTTCTTATTTCTCTTTTGATTCGATCCTTGATATCATCCAATTTCTGTTGCACCATTGTATCCGAAAAATCTAAGTTTTGAACAGCACTCACATTTTCAGAAAATGAAAAGTTTCGGGAATCTCCCTATAGAAACAAACAAGCAAGCAAGCAAATAAATCTCAGAATTTAGAAAAGGTACACAGTAGAATGTCCACCAATGGAACAACATAGTGATTCTTTATAAATAAGCTATACTTAATTATAAGCAAGCTCTTTCAAGACTACTTATTTGCCCTTTTTAGAACCAGGCAAGAAATTAAAAAAAAAAAATCCAGCACTCACTAAGCAGCAGTACTTGACAATACATCATACATCTTCATGCAAAGACATTTTAAGGTTGAATAAAGACAATGGACTCCTGATATCCTAACAATCTAAGTTAGATCCCAATAGCTGTACTGTACATCTTGGACAAGATAACATCTTGAACCTTTTACACATTTAGTGGTCTGTAAAATCTAAATAGTAGCATTAATCACTTTCAGAGATACTGTGGTAGTTCAAAAGATAGCAAAGCTACAATTAAAAATCTTGGTTCAGGGACCAGAATCATAGTACAAAGGGTAGAGCATTTGTCTTCATGCAGACTTGGGTCATCCATCAGCATAGAGCCAGAAGAAAGCCCTGAGTACCAATAAGTGTGACCCCAACACTAATAGAAAAAAAAATTCTTGGTTCACTGCTGTCACTTCTTAAAGCAAAAACTATTATTAAATTCTATAAGTATATGGTTTTATCTTCTGTAAAACCTCCTAAAAACAAACTAATACTGGCAAAAATAGTTACCTGTATGATCACTTTTAAATAAATGAACTAAATGCCTCAGAAGTTAGGAAAATGTCCCACATGGGAAGATTATATTCAAAATTCCAATTATTTATTTCATGGTTAACTATCCCACCAATTGATAATCTGGTTAACTCATTACAAAAGCACCACCAGAAAATATGTCCACATTATGTCCTACTGATAAAAAAATAAAATATACAACATCAACTATTCAAAACATATTTGAATAAAATAAAAAGTCCATTTGTTTAAAACAACCAAGGTCATATTCTACCTATATGTGTATACTTTACTATTTTATTCACCATACTCTTGGTTTTTAAACTTTTAATTTCTGACACAGAAAACTTGAAAAAACTTTTGAGAAAAGGAATTGAAGAGGACACAGAAATTAAAGAGATGTTTCACTACACACCCTTTTTTGTACCCTCATTTGAACCACAGACCTAATTAAAAGTATTATATTTCTTTGGGAATTACCATAGCATTTAAGTTGTACTTAAATTCTTGGTGCAAATACATTTTATATTTAATCTTTTTTCTATTTCTTTTTGATTTGGGGGCAACATCTGGCTGTACTCAGAGTTTACTCCTGGATTTGTTCAGGAATCATTTAGGCACATATCGGGGATTCAAATGTGGTGCCAAGGATAGAACTCAGGATGACTGAATGCAGGCAAACACCTTATACTTCATACTAATCTATTTAAAAACAAACAAACAAACACGCATCTTGAAAAATAGTGGAAAATAGTGAGTTGATATATGGGACCCTGTCTTGACTTTGGTACCCATTTACCTTGTGCTCACAGCAATACTATGCAAAAAAAATGTAATCGTTGATAAACCTCTTCTGCTTTTTTTTTGTCTTTTTGCTATACCTGGCAGTGCTCAGGTGAACATACAGAGTGTCAGGAACTAAATCTGGATCAGCAAGCAAGTGCCCTACCCACCAAACTACTTCTTCAGTTCCTTATTAACCCGTTCTTAACCTCATAGGAACAAACGTTTAATAAAAAGAATCACGGTCACGGTCACAGTCCTCCTGTTATTCATCAATTTGCTCGAGCAGCCTCAGTAACATCTCTATCATGAGACTTGTTGTTACTGTGTTTGGCATATTGAATATGTCACAGGTAGCTTGCCAGGCTTTGCCGTGTGGGTGAGATACTCTCAGCAACTTGCCAGGCTCTCCGAGAGGGGCGGAGGAATTGAACCTGGCTCGGCCAGGCTGGCTGCGTGCAAGGCAAATGCCCTACCGCTGTGTTATCGCTCCAGCCCAATAAAAAGAATATAATATAGAAAAAACTTATGTTTGTACGTACAATTTCCAGGTTCGATGGACAATAAACTAAGAATCCATTGGTCTTAAATTTCTGATTCTCATCTATGCTGCTATAACTACGTCAAAATAATGCGTAGGTGTTTAATGTAAAAAAAAAATCAGTTTCTGAGTTTTGGTTTTGGGATCATATCCAACTACAACCAGCTAAGTGCCTGGAGTTACTCTTGGCATACTGGCAACTGAACCCAGATGTCCTGAATTCAAAATACATACTCCAGTTCACTAAGCTCTCTTTAACCCCAGGCTGGGTTTTGTTGTTGTTTGTTTACTTTTTAAGTAGAACATAAATCCTTTCTACTTATTCAATTTCCAAAGTTTATAAAATCCACCTTTGGCTAGTTTTCTAAAATATTTGCACATACAAGACTATTACTAAAAAACAAAATCCCAAATTCCTGAATCCCAGATTCAGATAAAAAGGACTAAGACAGTGCCAGAGAGATAGCTCAGGCATCAGATGTGTCTTGCACATGCAAGAACCTGAGTTTGATCCCCGACACCTTTGTGCCTGAGTAACACAGCAAGGCTCAAGTGTTGCCCTTTTGCTGTGCTATTAGGTCTGGTTAGTTGAATTCCAGTAGCAGTGGCCCAGACTCCATAAATGCTATTTGGGAATCCCTTGAGTTCCTTCTGAAAAGGAATAAACCAGCACTTAGATGAAGTTTAAGTTAAATGTACTCTTCGAGATACTTTATTTCTATCCTAATTAGACTTTTAAAAAAATCACATAAGTGGCTTTCACAACTTTGTAACTTGATTTTGAGTCTTATAAGGCAGAGGTTTCATAAATTTTTTTTTTGGTTCATTGTGATCTTAGTGCCTTAAGAAAATTCTTCTTATGCCCCACAGCCAAAAGAAACATAACAATTCCATTTGTTAAGCAATAAAGTCTAAACAACTTTACCAGTACTTGTAACAATTTTCTTTCAAATAATGCAAATTTTAAGAAAAACTCTTACTTTATTCTTTAACAACCAATGCTACTTAACTTATTACTGTTAGGTACAATATCTCATTGAAGTTAGATTGAACACTCCCATCCTCATTTCCTGTCCTAAGGGATCAGAGAGTAATACTAAAATGTGACCCCAGTCTGTTTACATGGTATCCAACAAAATGCCAGTAGTCACCATTTCCTAGATACATTTCAAATACACTGCTGCCTCCTGAGAATTGGTGAGGCAACCAGAGAGCTGTCTTATACTCTGAAACTCACAACATTAAGTATTAAAGGGTTTGAAACAAAAACATGTTTTATGAAGACGGCTTCTGTATTGAATGTGAACTCTTTGAATGTGTTTCTTACTTCAACTACGAATTCATTTTAACTCGTACCCTAAATTCTATCAAATTACAAAAAAAAAAAAAGTCCACACAGAAGACAGTCTCTCTTGGCTTGGCTATTACACATGTGCAACATCGGGAAGTAATGCCTTTCCCTTTTCTTCCTTCTATGCTTGGTTAAATTTTAATTTACTTTTCGTCTATACCCTCTTTTCAATAAAATGTCTCACTTGTATATTCTGACGTTGCAGATCTTACTTATACAATGATCCCCACTCCCTTTTATTTAGTCACACAATGAACAACTGAGGGCAGGAATTATGTATGGCCGATTAGCTCTGTTTTGTCTTCTCAATGATTGCAGTTATATATTTTGTTAGATTTCAGGGAAATCAGTTATTGATGAGGAAGGAAGTCTTTCTGATAAAGAGGATGCATACTCCAGGAAACTAAAGGAAAAACTAATATTCAATCACAGGGAAGTTACAGGAGATAATGGTGGGGGTTGGGGACTCAATCATGTGCTTGACCTTGGGGTTCAATCTCTGGCACTACATGCTCCCTCGAGCACCACTGGGTTGGAGTGGCCCTGGTGGACCTTGGAACCATGACATCACCTGCCCTAGCACTGAACCCCATCAAGGTTAGCTGAGAATTATGGGGAGTGGCTCCTGGGCCACTGTAATCTTGGGACACTCCCACTACAAACAAATGAAATTTCAAACTCCAAGTAATGTTCAGTATCCTCTGCCTATCATCTTAGATATAAAAAAAAATGTAATTCTCCTATCTTTTTTAATCAATGAAAACACAAGCTTTATCACAACAGTGGAGTCAAATCAATTCAACACTTGTTACTTTCTTCCCTCCCTCCCTTCCTTGGGTTTTGGGGCCACACCAGGATCAGCCTCAAAAGATTAAAGCAGAGGCAGGGTGGGATGGGGGACGGGGGGGGGGGGGGGGGGTGGGAGGGATACTGGGATTAGTGGTGGTGGAGAATGGGCACTGGTGAAGGGATGGGTACTCGATCATGTATAACTAAAACCCAAGCACAAAAATTTGTAAGTCTACAACTGCACCTCATGGTGTTTCACTAACAAAAATTTAAAAAAAAAAGATTAAAGCAAGTGCTTTAATCCTTGTACTATAACTTTCAGACCCTTATGTGTTTTTCTTACACCCTATTCTTTTCATTATTCATCTAGATTCACCATGAAATATGTATTTAAAAATATTTGAAGTTTTTCATAGTTAATCTTATTTTTAATTACTTATTCTTAATGTACCTAAAATTTTTTATCACTCACCCCCTTAAAGCAACCATTTAATCATATGGATTAAATTCAAACACAGAAAACCATTTGAAGTTAAAACCAAGAGGAATTATATTTAAAAAAAAAAAGTAAATAATTTTGGGGTTTAGTGGGTCTGAAAAAAAAAAACAACAGAAATACAGATTCAGCAAGAAACAAAAAGATGAAACTAGATAAATTTACAAAGGAACCAAAGTAAAAAATTTAGGGTAGAGACTAACTAGAAGATTAGGATATGAATGGATCCTGCAGTGGCGAAATCACTTGCCTTGAGTGTGGACCAATCTGGTTTGACCTCCCCAACAGAGCATACAGCCCCACAAACAGTATCAGGAGAGATTTTTGAGTACTGC